CCCACCCCACCCCCCCTCCCCACTGCCTCCGGGGAGGGAGGGTCCTGAGGCCAGAAGGGGTCGGGGGAGGCCACTAGGCAGGCCAGGGAGAGCTGGGTCCCGGGGCAGGAAGTGGGTCTGCCTTGCCTGGTGGTCGAAGAACCTTTCTGCCTCAGCCCTGCTGGCCATGGCCGGTCTTTCTTTGGTCTGCCCTTAATTTGCATAAAATTTGCATTAGCAGTAACAACAAAAGCAGTTCCCACTTAGGTGCCTCCTGTGGGCCCCGCTGTATGCACATCTCTCTGCACTCACTGGCCCTTGAGGCAGGGCCATGGGGATTGTCCACACTCTACGGAGGTGGAAGCTCAGATTCTCGACCCTGACGAATGGGCAGTCACCTGTTGGACAACCGGAGCCGAGCACCTACTGGGTGCTGACCACCTACTGTGTGCCACACAGAGCCCTAGGCCCTGGGCTGGAGTGGTTGTGGTGGACACAGATGAAGGAGTCTTGCCCCCAAGATAGTTTGTGTTTGGCCATTCTGCCCTTGTGACAACCCTGGTGCCGGCATCCCCATTTTATAGATGGGGAAACCGAGGCCCAGAGTGGCAGGCAGGTGCGTTGCCCAGGGTGGGTCCCTGGGCTCGGCTCTCGAGGTCTCAGAACTGCATCCTATGTTTGCTGTTTGCCTCGCAGCCAGCCCCACCCGGACGAGGGCCACCCCCCGCCCCTCGAAGCTGTCCCGGTCTCCTGGAAGAGCGTGGGCTCCTGCCAGAGCTGCAGGGAGTCCCCGGGAGCCCTGGCGGAGACCTCTGCAGGGGAGGGGGCCCAAGGCGAGGAGGGCCCTGCCGCCGCCCAGCTGGACGTGTCGCGCCTGCGCAGCTCGTCCATGGAGATCCGCGAGAAGGGCTCGGAGTTCCTGAAGGAGGAGCTGCACAAAGCCCAGAAGGTGGGGGCCGGGGTACCTGGGAGAGCTGGGGCGCCCCCGAGTGCCCAGAGGTCTCAGGCACCTGTCAAGGCCTGCGCGGGCACGGGGGAGTGCAAACAAAGGACAGAGCAGTTCTAGGGTGACTTATAGAAGGGGGATCCCTGAAAACCTGTTCCAGGCCCCGACGCACTGGCAGCCGGGGTTCCCCTCCTGCCGGCAGCCGAATGGAAAACGCCTCATAAACTAGAGCAGCAGAGGCAAGCTCAGCGCCCCCCCCTCTCAAGATGACCCTGGAAGGGGGCCTGGTCGCCCCAGTGTCAGGCCCGAGGGCCCCTGGGGGGCTGACAGCCACCCACCTGGTGCCCCCAGGAGCTAAAGCTGAAGGATGAGGAGTGTGAGCGGCTGTCCAAGGTCCGGGAGCAGCTGGAGCGGGAGCTGGAGGAGCTGACGGCCAGCCTGTTTGAGGTACGCTGGCGGCCGGGGGCAGCTGGCGGCCGGGGGCAGCTTGGGCCTGGGCTGCTGGGCGTCCATCGGCTCCTCACCACTGCCTTCTTCCCAGGAAGCCCACAAGATGGTTCGAGAAGCCAACACGAAGCAGGCAGCGTCAGAAAAGCAGCTGAAAGAGGCTCGGGGCAAGGTGAGCCCTGACCCCTGCCCGGGCCGCCTGCGCGCCCCCCCACCCAG